GTGTTTCTTCCTTTTTTGTGCTTCAAACCATCCCTATATCCCCCTTCATTTTGAAGAAATAAATGGGGGGGGTGGGGGGGGGGGTGCGTGAAAAGTACACGTAGACGCAGTCACTCCAAAACAGTTTTAGTCTCGAACCCAGCTTGGTACGAGGTAAACACAGTGTGTGAAAATATATGTGGGTGCTCGCCCCTGGTTCCTATACGAACTGTTTAACAGTCAGAAGGAAGAGGAATTAGGGCTATAAAGTGCTGCTTACTAATGTCTAGAGTTACATGGACTTTCTCATCTACGTTCTATCATGCACTCTATAGCTACTTTATGTTTATGTATCCATGCATTAGCTTGCTCCACAAGGTCCTTTGCACGTGCCTCGATGAGTGGCAGTAAAACAAAAAACGCACAAAGTCACATCAAAAGTGTAGGAAACATCACAACCATTGTAAAAGGTGAAACCAAATACTACCTGACTATCTGTATGGCTCTTTCTTCCTTGCCAACTTTTTCCATACGGAAATGCTACCATAGCTTACCTGGATAAACTCTGCATGTAAAAGGATCTAGTGTTTTCATATGGGAAAGTGATCTTGTTTGCGGTTTGATTTGTGCAGCAGTTCTGTATTAAAAATACTCCAAATGGCAGGCACAACCTTCACATAGACAACATTATTAACTTAGCATAGGCACACAAAACTACATGACAAAAAGGTTATACATGGTATATACATGTCTGTTTATGACCATGCCTATTGGTAGCTGTACCATCATCATGGTTGCAAGGACCCTGTAAAAACTATGTTGTTACCTAAGAACCTTCAGCATTGGAATACGCGCTGTGACACAACCCAGCTCGAAACAAGTCTGAAGTCAAACTGCCCGTAATGAAAAGCACTAAAGTGCAAACCCTCGGCGAACTGCGCATGCGGTACCACTAATTGATGGGCTGGACTTTTCTTTTCTTTACTCGTTGTATCCCGCTAGTAGCTCGGAGAGAGTTTTAGTGTCGAACCCAGCTTGGTACGAGGTAAACACAGTGTGTGAAAATATATGTGGGTGCTCGCCCCTGGTTCCTATACCATTGAACTGTTTAACAGGAAGAGGAATTAGGGCTATAAAGTGCTGCTTACTAATGTCTATTAGAGTTACATGAACTTTCTCATCTGCGTTCTATCATGCACTCTATAGCTACTTTATGTATGTATCCATGCACTAGCTTGCTCGATGAGTGGCAGTAAAACAAAAAACGCACAAAGTCACATCAAAAGTGTAGGAAACATCACGACCATTGTAAAAGGTGAAACCAAATCCTACCTGACTATCTGTATGGCTCTTTCTTCCTTGCCAACTTTTTCCATACGGAAATGCTATCATAGCTTACCTGGATAAACTCTGCATGTAAAAGGTTTTCATATGGGAAAGTGATCTTGTTCACGGTTTGATTTGTGCAGCAGTTCTGTATAATACTCCAAATGGCAGGCACAACCATTACATAGACAACTTAGCATAGGCACACAAAACTACATGACAAAAGGTTATACATGGTACATGTCTGTTTATGACCATGCCTATTGATAGCTGTACCATCATCATGGTTGCAAGCACCCAGTAAAAACTATGATCATACCTCAGCATTGGAATACGCGCTATGACACAACCCAGCTCGAAACAAGTCTGAAATCAAACTGCCGTAATGTGAAGGCTGCTCTGCGCACGCGCACACTTATCCCCCCTTTGCATGAAGGCCGGCGGCCGGCCATGCCTCCTCCATGCGCGCATGCATGGGCGAGCGGAAGCGAGCTAACCTAGTGGTCCGAACGGCGCGATTTTTATGTCACCGTACGTCGTCCAACTGCGCATGCTCCAGCATTACGCGCTTCTTTTTATCCGAAAGGGATTTCAACATTTTCATATGCTGCCTGAATCCAGCGGAATCAGGGGCCGGGGAAACGCAACACGACAGGCTCGAACACCTCCGAAGCTATCGAGAATTGCTGCACAGTCCAGCGACGAGAGAGAGATTTTTCTACTATGCCTGATTCACGCTGTCGTCTGACTGTTTTTGACTCGACTCGAATTGTCTACTGCGCTCGGGTCTAAAAGGTTGTTTCGGCCTACTTGGTCCTGTGCAATGTATCTCACTGTTTTGTGCACACACGAGAGTGGCTCATACGATTAGACCCCATTTGTAAGCTCGCTTCCGCTCGCCAAAAATGCCATGCATTCGCCTACTAGTAGATATTATCACGGTGGTTCGTGGTGCGTGATGCCGCGATCGTCATCAACTGTTTTCGAATTCTGTGACGTAAGGCTAAGCCACACGTGGGCCCCCGGGGGACGACGGAGCGTGCGCGCGCGCAAAAGCCATAATATATCCGCGCGCGCACACGATATGAACGCGCATGTGTGTGTTACTAATTATGAGAATAGTCGTCAAAACAACGAAGTGCAGTCCTATCAGTGCGGGAGGATGGAGTGTCTTCCCAACGCGACTTCTCAGATTGTCGTGTATGTTAATGGCAAGGAGGTTCGTCAATCCCGTAAACAGTTCGTTAGCCTAGTAGGTTAGTGTGAAATTCTCATGTCTCAGGTGATCGAGCGCCAGCCAGATCCCGAGACGACCTTACTTTACTTTCTGCGCAATAAATGTATCCCACTTCTGGATCCCCGCTCCTCACTTCCTTACCATGTTGCTAGCTGTGGGTAATACCTTAACCGAGTACTAACAGTGCACCTGACGGGGAGTAAGTTGGGGTGTGGTGAAGGAGGATGTGGGGCATGTACGGTGATGGTGTCCAGCTATAACAGAGAAGAAGATGTGATCAGACACGTGGCAGTCAATGCCTGCCTCACTCCACTGTGCAGTGTGGCTGGCATGGCCATCACTACTGTGGAGGGAATTGGCAGCACTCGCACCTCTCTGCACCCAGTTCAGGTGAGAAAGCTAATTCATTGCTACAGCTAATACTTACTGCACACCTTTATGGAATGTGTCACTCTATTGACTTTGACACCAAACTCTGACTTTATTATAGTAATGTATACAAGGACTGTTCTTTACAGTTCTTAGCATAGAGGAAACTTTCCTAGCTTGCACGAGAGGTTTAGATTGAAAGTCACCACCACCACAAATTCTCACTGTACAGGAGCGGATTGCCAAGGCCCATGGGTCTCAGTGTGGATTCTGTACTCCTGGGTTTGTCATGTCCATGTACACTCTGCTCAGGAACAACCCCACCCCTTCAGAAGAGGAGATCGAGGCTGCTTTTGAGGGTGAGAAATCTCTCAAATACACTCACCGGTTAATCACCGACACCTCTCTGTGCAGGTAACCTGTGTCGCTGCACTGGGTACAGATCAATCTTGGAAGGTTATAAAACGTTTGCCAAGGTATAATAATTATACAGATGTCATACATAATGTTTTAAACAGTTGGCAGCTAGTCTCTTTTTTGTAGGGATGTTGTAAGAAAGGAAAAACATGTTGCCAGAATGAACAAAACACTGACAATGAGCAGGTAATAGTCCAGCTTCCTAAAAAGAACCCTTACAATAGCTCAAAAGACTTGGCTATGTCAGCTGAGTGATTAAATTCCATGGCCTTTTGGGGAATTGTTATGATAGTGTGAAAGCTTCCATAGTTGTATATAGAAGGTGACACATAATATTAAGCAGTCCTAACATGTGGGGTCTTGTGTGCAAATGTAACATATCTGTAATTGTTTCTAAAGCATGAATGTTCTCACTTGGTGTGTGGTGTAATGTTAAACTATGAATAAATGTAGGGTTCGCCTCAATTGTTTGATGCAAGTGAGTTCACTCCACTGGATCCCTCTCAAGAACCTATCTTCCCTCCTGCTCTTCAGGTATAGTATTAAGAGTGTTGGTAAGGCAATATCAATCTGTGTAGCTACGTGATAGCCTTGGAAAGTTTGGCAGCAAAAGCTACAGGGCCTTATCTAACCATGTATAATATAATATAATACGGAAGTGGCACGTACGTATGTAATTGGTTAATGCGGTGCTGTAATGTTTTACAAGACTTGCCTAAGTGGTTAAAAGCACAATAAGCAAGAAGATAGTATGCAGTATTGGCACACAAACTATAGGACATCAAACCTTATCTTCATGCAATATCATTGGAACTGTGTTCAATAGTTTTTGGTGCTATCACTGCATAATATTCACAGAAGAGCTTTCAGCAATTAATTCCTTCTTACCCACTTCATACTATTTCAAATGGGGGTAATAGGGCTGACTACTTCCTGTCAATGCTGTATGTAGTTGAGAGAGGCAGAGAGACCACTGGGGGTGAAGGGCCCACGGGTTCAGTGGTACAGACCTTCCAGTCTTGACCAACTGCTGGCTCTCAGAGTCAAGTTCCCTCACCACACCAACAGAGACTGGCCCAAGTACCGGATAGTGGCTGGAAACTCCGAGATAGGTAGTTACATATATTATATACTGTGATAGACAACTGCCCTTGCCACACTACAGACTCAGTGATAGAAAAGTATGGAATGAGATTTTACAATGAATTAGCCTTGTGTATAGTGTGAATGCATGTAACTAACTGCATGTGCACAGCCTAACTACATAAAAATATAAAAAGACACAAAGTGACTTACAAGGGCATGTGACAACCACGAGGTAGCTATAAGTTGGGCAAAGGCAAAGCAAACAAGTCAACTGCACTCAGTATAGTATACAACTCATTTTTCTCAAGGTAAAAAGAAGGGCTGCCCTCTATAGTATGGTTAGGATGTATATGAGATGATTACATTATGGCAGGTGTGGACACCAAGTTCAAGGGGGAGTTCTATGAGGTTCTGCTGAGTGTGAGTCATGTTCCAGAGCTCAACAGAGTGGAGGAGAAGGAAGGAGGACTGCTGGTTGGAGCTGCTGTCTCTCTCAACACTCTCCAACACAAGCTGGAGGAAATGGTCCACACACTCCCTGGTCAGTGGACACTAATGCCAGTGTGGTCTATCCATATTCCAAGCCTTTATGTGCATCATTCTCTAAGCCTTATCACAGTATCTATAATTATACCACCATCATGTTTTGCTTGTGTATATTCATTTGTACAGAGTACAAGACGAGGGCATTCTCGGCTCTGACTGGAGATGTTGAGGTGGTTTGCAGGGCAGCAGATAAGGAACACTGCTGTGAGATCTCAGCCTCTCCTTATCCCTGAACAATTCCCCCACCCTCTGTTCACTGCAGAGTATTGGAGGAAACATTTGCAATGCAAGTCCCATTTCAGACCTCAACCCAGTTCTGATGGCTTGTGGAGCCAAACTACACCTCGCTTCACAAGGTTTCTGCCCCATTCATGTTGTGTAGCTACATTACTAGCTAACACTTGGTTAGGTTCAAAACGGGTCATCACCCTCGACTCCAACTTCTTTCTGGACTACAAGAAGACGTGTATCAAACCAAATGAAGTCCTTGTCGCAATTCTTATTCCTTTTACTGCTCAGGTGGGTACATTCACATACACTGTTAGTGCAGGTGTATTGAAAGTTTCATTCATTGTAGAATGAGTATGTGTATAGCTACAAGCAGTCCAGAAGGAGAGAGGATGACCTGGCAATAGTCAATGCTGGTCTGCGGGTGGTAATAAATGGTACTAAGGGCCAGTGGAGGATCAGGGACTGTACTCTAGTCTATGGTGGGATGAGCAAGACTACTGTCATGGCTTCCAACACCCAGCAAGCTCTTATAGGAAGGTATACTGCTGCAGTCCTAATACATCTACTATACTGATGGAACTTCAATTTATACAAGGGAATGGAATGAGGCTACATTACAGGAGGCAACTCGACTCCTCTCAGAGGAGCTGCAACTGTCATGGGGATGCCCCTGGGGGCATGCCAGAGTACCGCAAGTCTCTGGTCACCTCATTCTTCTTCAAGTTCTACCTGACAGTCTTCCGCCTCCTCTCTCCTCTCTCTCTCCCTCAACATCTACACTCTGGCACACACAAATACAACAGGTTAGCTCTGCTTTCTTTATTAACCCTCGGCATGCATGCGCAGCGAGGGTTACGTATTTGGTTCGTGAGTGCGTGTGTGTGTGTGGTGTGTGTGTGTGAGTGTGTCTGTCCGTTCGTCTGTTACGCGACTACGTGCAACGAGACAACGAAATAGCGACACGAACAGGCTCATCGCTATCACTGGCCTCATTTTAAAAAAGGCGATTTTGATATAACTTCTGCGTTTAAAAGTTATGGCCTGAAAGGCAAGTGAACAAACCAATTGCAAATTAGCACAGGCTTACCTTGACCGCGTCCGCTTGCTCTGTGTGTCTTGAAGGCACAAGAAGTCACAACGAAGGACGTGTATCGACTCTCGCATGCTATCTACTACTGTAGCTAGCCCGTGTCAGACTCTCCGCGAGCTACTAGCAGAAGAGCACGAGTAAACGCATACAAATAGCCCAGCCCATCAATTAGCAGTATGGCGCATGCGCAGTTCGCCGAGGGTTTGTTTTCATTATCATACAGTAGTCAATTGGCAAGAGTTGTTAATGTTTATTCCCTTGAAATACAATTAGGTCATTATCACGAGTAGCCAGGGTTTCCAGAGAGTACCATGTGACCAGAAAGCTGAGGATATGGTTGGACGACCAGTCATGCACCTCTCAGCACCACAACAGGCCACTGGAGAAGCCAGGTGTCAGAGTTATGTGGTATTGCTTTGCATACTAGTGGTGGCGCTAAAAAGGAGCAAGGGCTCCATTGTTGTTACTAGACAAAATTCTTTTATAGCCATGGCATTCATTACCTAGCTGCGAATATTGATTTGTTAATATTAAATCGTTGTGGTGCTAAAACCACTAAGCGAGGGCTGGCAGCCAGACCTGCAGGTAGCTATAAATTATAGCTAAAGGGAATAGCTACAAAAGCAGGGTGAAAAAACATTGTGTTCACCCTTCACCACATAATTGACGAGCGAAGCAAGCCTACCTAGTCGTTTCATAGCGGGATTTTTAATATGGGCACTGCACATACCATAATGTTCTAAATACGCGCAAAACGCATGAAATATTATTGAACAGCTCGCACTTGCTCTCCAGCAATGCGTTACATTCTTCTTATGATATCTCCAGGTATTTAGATGATGTTCCTCGCCTGGAGGGAGAGTTGTATGGAGGTCTAGTGCTGAGTCAGCATGCTCATGCCATCATATCAGTGGATGCCAGTGCAGCACTGGTCATGGAGGGAGTGGTGGACTATGTGTCTGTCACTGACGTCCCTGGAGACAACATGATAGGTCTGTCTCTTAGTCGAGAAGCTTTATAAATGTGTGTAAGTGAGTTTGTTATAAATATCACGTGATGTCCCAACACGCAAATTCAATTGCTTACATGCACAGTGCATACTTAATCTAACCAATGGAAAATTTCCACCATAAATGTAAGTTTCTAATGCTTCAGGGATTAACAACGATGAGCCAGTGTTTGCAGACGGGAAAGTGATGTCATTTGGTCAGATCATTGGAGTAGTTCTGGCCACTGACAAGCCACTGGCCCAGAGAGCAGCCAAAGCTGTTAGAGTCACCTATGAAGATATCCATCCTCCAGTCATCACCATTGAGGTTGTTACTAACTACTTAGAGCAGAGCTGCTGAATAATGTATGTATGCAGGACTCAGCAATTCTTCTTTTGTACAGCTAATGCTGTGTACCTATGAAAATCAAATAACTGGCCCAATTTTTGAACTCTCTGTGTGGTAGCTACTGGCTTTAGTGAATTGTCAAGTCATCACCCATTACAAATCACGAAATTGAAGTGATTAAGCAGGCTTACTTTTCTCTGTAGTAAAAGAGTCAGTAGAAAAGCTTTAATAATTTGTGTATCTGTCAAATTCAGGATGCGATAAGAGCTGGATGGTTCATAGGAGAAGAGATGAAGGTGGAAGATGGAGATGTGGAGAAGGCTCTGAGTGAGGCAGAACATGTGCTGGAGGGAGAGGTCAGAGTTGGGGGACAGGATCACTTCTACCTGGAGACACAGGCCTGTCTGGTGGTTCCCAAGGGAGAGCAGGAGGAGGTGGAGATACTCTCCTCCACACAGGGAGTGACAGCCGTTCAGACCAATGCTGCCCGTGGTCTGGGCATCCCACGCAACAGAGTTGTCTCCAAAGTCAAGAGAATAGGTCTTGCTCTCAAGTATATTGCAGCAGTTGAACCCTTTTAATCCCAAACAACAAATGGGGCAAGTGCCATTACTGAGGTGTCCTTATTTCTGGGGTCGAATAACTATTCTTTAGGAGTGAGAAAGTGAGAAAGGTGTCCTTGGTGTCCTTAGAAATGTTCAGTTGTTCTACTTAGGCTGTACTAAGAGCAGCCTTAAAAAGTGATAGGAAATTCATCATGAATGGGTTACTGTATACTTAGGTGGGGGATTTGGAGGAAAAGAAACACGAGGTTGCTACCTTTCCACAGCAGTAGCTGTAGCTGCTAACAAGTAAGTCCGGTGTTCACTCTCTCTATGAGGAGGAGTTGTGTACGGCCTTGCCCCTGCGGAGTTCATGAAGCATGAACACATTACTAAGTGTTGCTGCTAATTGCGATACATATATACCATGTTTGGAGTAAAGTACATTGCTCAAAGGCCCCTCACCCGGCACCTAAACATAGATGTACTTTGCTCATAGGTTTGTAATATTCAGTGCTCCTTAAACTGTGCAGAGTTCAGCGTCCAGTGAGGATCATGCTGGACAGGAATGAAGACATGATGACTTCAGGAGGCAGACACCCATTCCTTGGTGTCTACAAGGTGGGGTTCACCAGCCAGGGCAGGATCACTGCTCTTGATCTCAAACTCTACAGCAACGGAGGAATCTCAGCCGATCTGTCTATACCAGTGAGCTCAATTAGCCAAAATTTGTGATACAGTTGAACCGCTCTTTAAGGACAACCTTGAAATTAACTTCCTGACTTTTTTTAAGGTAATGCAGAGAGCAGTGACTCATGCTGACAACGTCTACAAGATCCCCAACTATCGTGCAGTGGGCAAAGTCTGTCGCACTAACCTCCCTCCTAATACTGCCTTCCGAGGCTTTGGAGGTCCACAAGGAATGATCATCACTGAGCAGTGGATTGAGAGAGTTGCCGAGTTCCTCAAACTTCCTTCTGAACAGGTTTGTATGAACCCTAAGTCCCGTTTTGGAGACTTTTTGGCACTTTGTGTGTCCATAATGTATGGGAATTCACTAATCATCACATCAAAGGTGCGGAGACTGAATTTCTACCATGACGGAGATGCCACTCCGTATGGTCAGATTCAACCAAAGGTCCATGTCAGTCGATGCTGGGACACTCTACTGGAGAACACACACTACCTCACCACTTGGAGGAGCAGTGTGGACCTCTTCAACAAGTAAGAAAGGAATTCCATTTCTGCAGGGCGCCATAATACGCTTAAATGGCAAAAAGGCATTAAGGCGAACGTAATAAACACAGCTACACTTGAGCAATGTCACGGTAACAGTAAGAAAAATGTTGCGTCAAAACAGAAGTGTTGTCGTATCATGTTTCATGAACCTAGATTAGGTGTGCATGATTTTCATGTGCCCTCACAAACTACACTAGTTCAACACATTCACTGGAAAGAGACACGAGCGAGTCCATAAATCAAATCATAACCACCACTTTACTACTGCATCAACATGGTGATGTGCGATTCAGTCAAATGGACAGAAATTGCTGGATTGCAGGTCTAACAAGTGGAAGAAGAGAGGACTGGCCATCATCCCCAACAGATACTGTCTGGCATTTGGTATAACGTTCCTGAACCAAGCTGGAGCCCTGCTCCACGTCTACACTGACGGCTCTGTCCTCCTCTCTCATGGAGGAATGGAAATGGGTCAGGGACTCCACACCAAAATGATACAGGTTTGTAGGGAAATTGACTGTTATGTTCTAGTTAGGGGCAGGTCTATAGCTGAAAAGATTGAGGTGTGTGTGCAGTGGCGGATTTAGGATTTTGAATGGGGGGGTTCCGCTGTCCAGAACGTTTTTGATTGTGCTAGTGTTGGTCCATCTCAGCTCTCAATGTAGTCGTATTATTATCTGTCTTGGAGAATATTAAGTATCATGTAATAGCTACTCCAAAATGTTAACAGCCTCCTTGCAATGTGGTTTTCCAACGTTGAGGTGACTCATGTTATAATGTGCAGGTGTGTTCCCACTGCTTCGACCTTCCAATGGACAGGATCCACATCTCAGAGACCAGTTCAGACAAGGTCCCCAACACTAGCCCAACTGCCGCCTCAGTTTCCACCGACATGTATGGAATGGCAGTCAAGAGCTGCTGTGATCAGATCATGGAGAGACTGAAACCATTCCGTGAGGCAGACCCTGAGGCTGGCTGGGACAAATGGGTGAGTTGGAAATGAAGACACTCCTATGTAGCCTAAACTATCCCCTCTCTTTTTGAAGGTGGAGAGAGCCTATTTTGAGCGAGTCAACCTCTCAGCTCAGGGATTCTACAAGACTCCAGACTTGTGGTTTGACTGGTCTAAGGGCAAAGGTAATCTATACAGCTACTTTTCTTATGGAGCCAGTGCGTCAGAGGTTGAGGTGGACACTCTGACTGGAGACTTCACCATCCTGCGCAGTGATCTGGTCATGGATGTCGGTGACAGCCTCAACCCTGCCATTGATATCGGCCAGGTAACTAGGTACTAAACCACTTCCACAGCAGTGACCAGTAGTTAGTACGAGACTTAACAAGGTGGCGCTTTTCTCAGGTATCAATAGCATACGAATGGCATTGTTCCCACTTCAGGAATGTTTTTCTTCCCCTTAACAGGTAGAGGGTGCCTTCACTCAGGGGTTGGGTCTGTTCACAATGGAGCAGTGTGTGTATCTGGAGGGAAATGGTCGGACTCAGCGAGGCCAGCTCTTCACCACTGGACCTGGTACCTACAAGATCCCAGCCGTCTCTGATATCCCTGTCCAACTCAATGTCACTCTCCTGGATGGAACCAGCAATCCTCAGGCCATCTTCTCTTCCAAGGTGGCTCCACAGTGCCAACACAATTTCACAAGTTTAGCAAAGCTACTTTTTTAATAAAAGAAAGGATAAAGCTTTAGAGTGGCCATCTTCGGTAGGTGTGAGCATGTATCAATAACAAGGTAGAAAGTCAGCCAACAAGTCAACTACACCCAGGACACATTCTTTGCCCTGGGTGGGATCTGAATCCACGACAATCTGCATTCTAGGCGAGCGCTCTACAAACTGAGCTAACCAGTGCGTGTAGTAAACTTAAACTCCTGTCTGTCAGGCTGTAGGAGAGCCTCCGCTGTTCCTGGCTGCCAGTGTCCTGTTTGCCATCAGAGATGCAGTGAGAGCCAGTCGGGCAGAGAGAGGAATCATTGCTCCTTTCCAGCTGGACACTCCAGCCACTTGCCATACCATCAGAATGGCCTGTGAAGACCAGTTCACTCAACAGGTATGACGGACTAATGACATTGTGTATTATAGCATCAAAAGTTCTATCTGTTTTCTTTTGCTGCAGGCACAACAGTGTTTCACAAATTTGTCCTCTACAAGAAAATGGACTGTGAATGTGTGAATAGCTATACTATAATGTTTTATAAAAGCAAAATTGGCAAGTGAAGCTGAGCCTACCTAGTTGTTTCAATGCAAGAAAATTTTCTATACTATCTGTCAGCCACTTTACATACCGTAATGTTCTATAATATTATACATCATTCTAAATACGCACAAAACATGTGCGAAATAATTGTATTGAACTGCTCCTGCTCGGTATCCAACAATAATTGTTACATTCCTCTATTATAATATTATGTGCTATTAGTGAGAGTTCAAAAAGTACTTGCATGTGGCAAGCAAGTCAAGATTAGTTCAGGCGAGAATTAAAGGACAAGAGGTGCTGATGCCTCGGTGTGCATCCAATGTTCCTATTCTCTATTCTCTTAACGACACAGAAGGGGGGGTCCCTAGCCCACTTTTTAAATTTGCATGAGTGGTGTGCTTGTGTGTTCCCTGACCTGTGGGGCCAGTCAGCCCCTCAATTATTGCCCAATTCCAAGTCAGTACGTAAAATCGTGCTGGGAGCAATGTGCATGACGTATCATCTGTGATGCATTTAGCGTGAGTTAGCCCCTCAACCATTGCCCTATTATTGGTTCACACTGGGTGACTTGGGGCAAAGGTTGTATGCTGACCAATCTGCGCAGAATGGCTGTAGCTACAAAAAAAGATAAAGCTCACATGAATTACCCCAAAAATTTTGCTAAAGCAATTTCTTTTCCAATACAATAATAGTGGAAGAGCTCCAGCAGAAGGACTAATGGTAAAGGGAGGTCAAAAAGGTGCACCTAAAAATTAATAAAGTTCGTTAGCTACCCTCCATGGAGTAAACAATCACATCACTAATGTCCTTGTAGCTGTACGTTGTAGAGTTGTAAAAGGGGTCCATTACAGTGAAAGAGCTCCCACCATCCAGCGCTCCATTCAACAGTACAAAGTGGGTTTTGTTTCTCACATGGCCCAACACAACCAGGCCCTCCTCCAGCGCCTGTACCACGTAGCTCCGCGAGAGAACGGGCGGGAATATTTCCCCCATGTACTTTATCCCTCCATACACGTCTATCTTCTCGACCTGGGGCAGGTTTAGGTTGTTGCAGTTCCCGTCGACGCAAGAGTAGCCTCCGTTGTCGACAAGCCAAGCGTTGAGCGCCCCGGGATCGGATTCTTTGCCACCGAGAGTGTACCCGTACGTGGCCAGGGCCATGCTAATGCACGACATAGCGCAGCCTTCGCTGCAGACGGTGTCCCGACCGAAGCTGGCTCCGGGGCAAGTGTTGACGGAGCAGTTGACGAGACCCATCTTGTCCGACGCCCACAAAGGGTTGCATTGCTTGTAGAGCGGATAAACAGGACTGAATGCGATCTTGGGGGAGTTTTCCCACTGCTGGGAAAGGCAGACGCACACCAGGACAAGAAGAACTGCTAGCCTCAACATTATTTATACCAGCTCAGCTCATTTAGTGATGCGCATGCGTATTTACCAAACGCCTAACTTCCGCCGAGCGAGATACAAATTCCGGGACATCCAGCAGACTGCGAGTGCATTTACTACACAGCGAGAAGAAGCATAGCTTTAAAATTAGCGGTACAATACAGTTAGATGTGAGAAGATGGGCCAAGGAAGAAGTAGAGACACGGCCTACGTGGCCCCGGAGATGCTGCAGCAGCCAATGAGGAAAGCGGGAAGTCTGACGAGCCTTTCTTTCGGGAGGGCCAGGAAGAGTGGAGGGGTGCGGCGCTCGCGGAGCTTCAGAGAGAACAAGGAGGTCCAGGAAGCGCTACTCCGACTGAGGATAGAGAGCGAGATGAAAGACCTGCAGCGATGGGTGAACGAGCGCCCAAAGAAACACGCTATGGATGGGGTCATTCCGCCGAAACTCGTCGACCTTGCCGCCGTGACGGTTGCACAAAACCTCCGAGGACCTGCCGACGTGGACGGACTCCCGGTCACGCGTGAACTGAAAGATGTTGTGGAGTTTCGTCTCTTGCCGACCTTCGACGAGAAGAATGCAGATCCCAAGACAATCTTCACGGACCGCGGCCGCAACGCTCAGTACACGGGAAAGGGGTACAGCACGACGGTGATGAAAACGCCGTCCGGCCGCGGGCTAAGGCACGGCCGTCACGCCTGGATAATCTACGTGGACACGAGTAGGGTGCAGGGCTGGATGCAGATCGGAGTAGTAAACCAGAAGCGAATGGACACCGAGTGCTCCACGGCCTGGGACGGGAATCCCCACCCCTTCAGAAAGGGGGAGATAGCCAGACGCAGCAACGGGAACTTTCACTCGGGCCGAAACGAGCTGGAAGCCACCATGGTCCAAGAAACGATATTCCTCAGTGGATATGGAGCAGGAGACACCATTGGCATGAAGGTAGACTTTGACGCCAGAGAGCTTTACTGGCTCAAAAACGGAGAGCCTTACGGGAGCCGGGTGTCATTTGACGAGGACACCGTATTTCACCCCAGTGTCAGTTTGGACAGTCCAGGCGAGACTGTGTCTATCGTGTACTACAGTGGACCCATAGCAATCTAGCACACTGTAGAATCTATAATCTATCTTGCGTGTTTCAAATTTGTTGTTTTGTCTGTGAATCCTTTTTGTATATATACCATGTGTCCGCCTCAATTTCAAATCAGCTGCAGAATCATATTATTTTTGTGAACCATCTGAAAGCTAAACACGTAACTATGGTAATAAGCCACACAGATTTACAGACAGAGGCTTTTACTAACTGTACCACCATTGACTAATTCTCTGCACGCCATGCACTTGCAGCAACCAGACACACATGTCTCCAGCAAAACAGATACCACCATAATTATTACAAGATTCCCCAGCTTTTTATTTCCCCTATATACAATGCTCAGGTATGCCAAAACTTGTGCGATAACTTGTGCGAATCGTCTAGTGCCAGGAGTTAAGTCAAAGATATGTGTTGTGTTGTTTACGTTACTTTCGTCTTGATTTTATCTTACCATGATCTCTGGTTATTGTTTCCCTTAATACTTCACAACTATAATGATTTGTGTGTTGGGTTAGGCAGTCTCCAGCTCTGTTGCACAGGTGGTTTCTACTAGGGATGGCCCAATCCAATCTCTCCATGGTGTGTAGCTACTTTTGCTGGCAACACGTAAAGTGCTTGTATGCACACACTGCGTGGAGTTGCTGGAATGCAGCACAATCTTGGCAAGTTTTTCATGTTTTACATACGCATGAGCTCTCCAATAGAGTTGGTTAACAGAGTACCATGAGAGCCTTCAGTAGAGTTTGAAATCATGAGCCGGTAGGCGCCAGTAGGTAATAAAGAGGTTGGCAGTGAATTGCAGAGATGACAGGCACTCAAGTGCTGTTTGAACAGCAGCTGCACTGACCGAGTGCTAATTTGTTGCGAGATGTTTCAAATTTGTTGGGTGTACATAGCTAACAGCAGCCAAGGTCTGTCTTGGTGAGAGGAAGGGTGGAGGCTATTACAGCAGTGGTCTCAGACGCCATGGTAATGGGTGGCACCAGCCCTGACAAACCACTCCCCTTGGGTTAACAACACTAAACTACATCTAATATATATCCATCCTCCCTTGTTTGCTTCTACAACCATCCTCCAATATAAGCCGATAAGACACTAAACTGATGTTTACATCACCAAAGGATTTCCCCTAGTTTATTCCGCTAAACAAACAAACCATTACGTAATTATTATCAACCCTCTCATTTTCTGAAGAGCTCGACACCATTTTAAATCCCAGTATATTTATTCTCAGCTACATAATTGTCTTCCTCTGTATACTATCTGCTGAACGCTGGTAGCTAGCTATTAGTATGGTATAATGGTAACCCCAGAGGATTGCAGAGTATGAGCTAGCCATGAAGCACACAGCTGTTGAACCATTCCACCAAATCCCAGTCATCATTACCCAGGATTGCTGGCAGCAATCCCGTGGCCATGATATCAAGTTCACGACAGGATATGTGATCTCTATACCCAATCACTAAATAACTCAATCATGTTAGCTCCATGAGTGACCATGAATACTGATTGGATGAAATTTACTGTAAGTCATGGTAACTTGCACTGAAGTATATTGCTATCTTTAGTGACTGCGTACCAAGTTGAACATACGTTTTATAAATGGTCATCAAAACTGCAAGAATGTCCCCTTAATTTCTAGGGCAACATCACAAAATACCCCAGGGCTCGATACTCTTGCATTTCCAGGGTAGTTTCTAGGGTACGTAGAATCAGAAACTGAATTAAACACCTCTGCTTTGCTATGGCCATGATAGCAACCTGATAAAGTACCTCTGTGCATTTCTATGGCCGTTACAGCAACTGGATACAGTACCCCTGCATTTCTATGGCCGTGATAGCAACTGAATACAGTACGCATATACCCCTGCATTTTTAGGCCATAACTGTATACAGCATAATAATACTTCTGCATTATTAGGGCCGTATGCAAACTGCATACGGTACCCTGCATTTCTAGCGCCGTATTAGCGATTGTATGACACCAAGTACATTGTTGGCCTCACACAGGGCTAGATACCTTGGAAGGGGATCAGCTGCTGACCACCTAAATACATCTGTCTCAGAGCATTGGATCTCACTTGGAAGCAATGGGAGGAATGCACGTCTGTGTAAACCAGGCATTCTCTCCCATACCTAACAGGATGCTAATCCAACTGGGAATTTAATCAAGTGGCCAACAACAGTGCTAATGCTGTACTTTCAAAAGAGAGTTATGTACTGAGCTGAACACACTGGCTCTTGGCTGTACAAACATATCTTTGGGAACACAGACAATAAACACCACTCAAATGTGTACATACCACTGTCCACAAACACTACACAGTCTATAGATACTAAATGACTGTGGAGTGTCCATGAATGGACTATGGAAACACAGCGTGTGAGGTGTGTGTGGGCTCAACAAGTGTCAGGCAGTGGCCTGTTTGCGGCTTTTGTTGGCAAACTCCTCCATTCTTCTCTCGAGCTCGGGACGAAAATGACGGACTAGACCCTAAAGAGAGAAGTCAGAAAAAGATAGAGAAAGGAGAAGTGTGTGTGTGTGTGAGAGAAAGCATTATGCTAGTGAAGATTTCATGTGGGTCACTGATGGACACACAGATACATTGTGTTGATTTTGCAAATTCGCGGTATTAATGACACTGAAAGACGTAGTAACTTTCCTGGAAAACATTTCGTCAATTATGTAGGACCTTTCGGTAACTTCACAAAATTAATTTTCAAGTCAGCTTTATTTAAGAGTTATTCGTGATTAACAAGCGACACTTTCTCATTCAAAACTGCCAGTAGATTGGTACAGCATTTCTAGGAGCCAGCTACCCACAAGAGAGTAAACAAGAAAGGTCGGCGACCCACGCTATCAGTGTGTGGCCATGCTCAACAGCCCGTGACTATACCTCTTCAGCAAGCAGGACACACAGACACACGAGGCGTCATTCTCACAAGGGAGGTGGGGGAGTGAGTGAGAGAGCAAGGAAGGACCTGGGAAGTACACACACTTTCTCGCTCCCCACCCAATTCATTAACTCATGCCAAATGACCTCAACACCACATAGTGTAGTAAACCTGCATCCTTAGACAGTGTATCATAGAGTGTACACTCAACTGACTCTCGTGGACACACTTCCTGATTGGCTCAAAAAGGAAACAGAGCTTCCTTTCCATAAAGTGCACACTCCATACCCTAAGGCTTTGTAGGTGTGAACTTCAAACTATTGCCACTTCAGTCCTTCCTCAACTACGTACGTATGTAGGACCTGACCAGTATGCATCTATAACGTATGTACCGTCACGAGAGGGACTTCTAGTTAATGTACTTTCACAAGAGAGACACTTCTAGCTGTAGCAGCATATGTACCACAAAGAAGGGCTTTGACCGTGGACAGTTCGCGTTGTTCAAAGAGCTATTACCTGGCCATCACGATGCATGTGAAATACCTCACAATGCACGTATGAACACCGCCCTGGCAACTGTAGAGCCTTTGCATTTGAAAGCACTTTACAAGCCATCTTAACAAACAAAAACAAAAAAAAACAAATTGGGGTAACAGTAGGTCCCACATACTTTCTATATTATTATACAGGATACAAAGTTCTTGACGGATTACTGTGTGATATAAGTAAATTATACAAACAGACTCACTTACGCATGCATGCGATATGTCATGGATTTACACTGTGTGTACAATGATAGAGGGATTACTCGTATTACACTAAGTGGGACCTCATTACGCATAAAGATAGATACAGTGGGTCCCACTAATACCCAGGGTAGCTCTTCTTCTTTTCTTTGAAAAGAAAGAGCTGTCCTGGGTGTAGTTGACTTGTTTGCCTTTCCTTGCCTTTCTACCTCGTTACCAAGTTGTTGAGGTGATTCTAAATTATGCTGGCCTTTTCCTACGTTTTGTAAGATGATAGACCGATTAGCATTATGACATTAGGTGGGACCTTCTTGTGCATGTGTGTGTTAGACAATACATTGAGAGATGCTGGGTTTGGTAATTGCAACTTCCCAGCCGAGCCCATTGCCAAATTAGTGGCATTTAGGTCCAGACCACAAGTATGTTAGCCTCCTTGCTATTAGAGAGAAATTCCTCTTTGGTAACGAAATATCCTGTTTGTGAATAATTGAAGGCCAAAAGGAAATATGTAGGTATTGAGGTTTTGCAATCTTTGAGCATGTGGGCAATTCTTGCATGCATACAAATTATGATAATGTCCATTCATTAGCTGTATAAACACCAATTTATTTGAAATTCAATCTTTGAAAGAAATATATACCCATAGTACATAGACACCTGTAGCCTTATACCTGATGGTTTGTGTAAACAGTGTATGCATCACATCTGCATGTTTAACTTATCCTTCTCTGTCTATTGGGATCGAAATATCTAAGTGTGAACCTCATCATGTGTACAAATAGAACATGCAGTATCACTAGAGGGGTTGCACACTATCAACATTCCTAAGCCATTCCCAATTCATAATCACGTATTGTAAAGCTGCAAGATAGAGAGCTCTTGTGCTGGTGTTCACAAGGTGTGAACCTCATCATGTGTACAAATAGTACATACAGTATCACTGAAGGGGTTGCACACTACCAACATTCCTAAGCCATTCGCAGATGCAATTCATAATCAAGTATTGGAAGATAGAGAGCTCTTGTGCTGGCGTTCACAAGGACTTTGATTGTGTACAGTCTCACACATGTAGCCTCTTTCATAAATACCACATCTATTTGCATGCATTTTTGTCGTATGCATTTTTGTTGTATGCAGCTACTATAGTACATGTTTCGTGCAAGAACTTCATCCTTGCTGCATCAAGACCCAATATAAGTACAGATGGTACACACATACATTGTATGGTACGGTACCCATGAACTAAAACAGGCCATTATGTGAATTTCCTACTGCACATCATCATACTGTAAAATAAGTACAGTTTGTACACGCATACGTTGTATGGTACAGTACTCATTAACTAAAACATGGCCATATAGTGTTGCATGTGAATTGCCTACTGCACATCATCATACTGTAAAATAAGTACAGTTTGTACACGTATACGTTGTATGGTACAGTACTCATTAACTAAAACATGGCCATATAGTGTTGCATGTGAATTGCCTACTGCACATCATTATACTGTAAAATAAGTACAGTTTGTACACACATACGTTGTATGGTACAGTACCCATGAACTAAACGGGCCATTAGACTGTTGCATGTGAATTGCCTACTGCACATCATCATACTGTAAAACGCGTGTGGTCTGCATGCCCCACTTTCATAGAGACTCTCGGGCCACTAAGTGAGTAAACACCACAACAGACAGGGTATAATGGACTGCTTGTAAACATGGTAATTACTTGCAGAAGTGGTGAGTGTGAATTGCACACGTTTAAAAGGCTCCCAACAACACCATTTGTTACCCTGGTCACTCTGTGTTCTAGAGAGGGCTGGGCCGAATCACTCATACAGAGCAAGGCAGAGCACTCTGTGTTCTAGAGAGGGCTCTACCAACTGAGGCAGCTCAGCTGGCTGGGCTGAATCACTCATACAGAGCAAGGCAGGGCACTCTGTGTTCTAGAGAGAGCTCCACCAACTGAGCTACTGAGACAGCTCAGCTAGCTGGGCTGAATCACTCATACAGAGCAAGGCAGGGCACTCTGTGTTCTAGAGAGAGCTCCACCAACTGAGCTACTGAAGCAGCTCAGCTGGCTGGGCTGAATCACTCATACAGAGCAAGGCAGAGAACTCTGTGTTCTAGAGAGAGCTCTACCAAGTGACCGACTCAGTCTGCTCAGCTGGCTGGGCTGAATTGTGGTCGAAGCAAAGCATTCTGTGTTCTAGAAACATCTCTACCAAATCCCTGAGCTACTGCAAGCTGTACATACGGAGCTGGGCTGAAATACTTATGCAAAAGGCTGTGTTCCAGAGAAGGCTCTACCAAAAGCTGTATATATATGCTTACGACACATTACAAGCACCATACACTCATCCTTAACTGCCGAGCACATTGTAAGTACTTCAGCGTATAAGAGTAATAGGAGACCTCGGCTGAAAAAGTTACAGTGAATCATGGGCCGTGCCTATAGAGCCATTCAAGAACTGTTCCACACTAACTTGTTGTGCATTTCACGGAATTTATCGACATTTCCCTTTGATTCCAGCCTTGTATGCAGGAGTAGTAGCCAGTAGTGGTTGGGACATGTTTGTCATGCCAGTGGGAGGAACGGCAGCAGAGCCAACTCTAGACACGTGGAGGAAGTCGTGGTTGTAAACACCCCATACACGTTCCAGACTCTCTTTATAACCCGGGACACCACCCCCGCTGGATGCACAGTACGCGGGACATGAACTGTCTTTATTTGTTTGCAGGTGCCGCATGAGGCTAAAACTGTTTCCGTGTTAATCCATCAATAGATTCTGTCAATGTCATGGCCCCTTTTCCACACCTGATCAGTAGTCCATCTGTGACACCTGATCAGGCATTAGTCCTTGTGTGACACCTAAAGGCATGGAGAGCATAGCAGAAGGCCTTGTGTGTGTTATGTCAGTGACCTGACAAATTTTGTGTCAACCCGAGACATTGACGGTTGACCTAAAGAGACTGCATACTATGTATGACAAAGCCTAAATGCCACGTTTGTGTACATTTATAATCAGCGAAAAAAAACACCCCACTACAAGTATTGCAGGGCTATCTGCAAGGTTTAATTAACCTTGCTCTAATAGGGCCTCCAAAAAAGAATATCAATTCAGATGTAAGCGTGTTACACAAGCACATGTATAAGCACCGGGACAGATAACTTTCTTAACCGGGTTACATCGCACTGCATTTACCAGAAACTGGACTATGGACACACTCCCATTGACCAGAGCATTGCAGTGTTGCATTACGTGATTGACGAACCAGCCAACCGATCAACATCCCCAATCACGTTTCTCTGAAAGATTATTGACACTGTCTGTGTGTCGTCGAGGCAGCACTACCTCCGGGCCAACTTCTAACTCAATTAAGTACATTCCCGCTGTGTGTACTCAGTAATACAATACAAAGGGAGGTACATACGTATGTTGCATCATTGATATCGACATACACAAACCAGATGAAACCATGTGCTTCACAAAAGATTTGTTGATGCTTGATCCACGTCACCGATCTTTTGAAGATTGATTTGAGTCTCAGAAAACATGAACAGATGTACGTAAACTGTTGCTGGCATAGACACCCATAGCCCATTGGCCAAAGGTGGTACACAACACACACACACATGCACACTGCCCACTCCACCACATACACACATGCACGCACACACGCACACTCATATCGTAGGGTTACTTCTTCCTTCATGTAACTGGTATTGGAATTATGTCATAATTATAATATTGATTGAGTAGTACAGTCGGTACGAAAGAACGCCAACATTGAGATGGTTTTTTACCTGGACGGGCCATGCTGCTGCATCTCCCAGTGCACAGATGGTGTGACCCTCAATCTGCTTACTCAGCTCCTGCAGTAGTAGGGATTCGTTTCACGAGGAGACTATTACATATCTATCTTTGAGGTCTGGAATGATTATCATTTACAAAGAACAGCGGCTAATACTGTGGCACACCGACTCAACTATCACATTCTTAGGCTCAGTGTGCATGTATATGTAGCATGTACATATGGACCCCCAGTTGCAGCTGATGTACAGGAATACTCCTCCAACCACAGTCTGATCAGTAACGGGAGATGATTGTGGGACAACTATATATACGTAGGATTAGCAGACTGACCAAGTCACTCTGTAGCTAAATGAACGTATATTCCCCACCAAAATGCTTGCCTTGGCAAACAAGATCAAACGCAGACATTGATGTGTATGCCATTGTCAATACCCTACTCTATACCAGCAATGCTTTCTCTTTGGAATGGCAATAGCTACAGTACATATTATGCTGGTGACATACAAATGCAACTGACTATGCATGCTGCATCAAGGACAACAAAGACACTGACACTCTTCTTCTGCAGTACACAACCTCATTTGCAAGTCTAGAGTCTTGTTTGAGCCCAATGCCTTTGAGTCTGCCGTGATCAAAGACACACCAATTACACCACACACACACACACACACACACACACACACTCAGACACCTCTCAAAGCATGCAGGGCTCCTGGCCTACTATGGCAGTGGCACGGAACACTCCTTCCCACACCTCATTCTACATCCCTCATAACTTGAACGAATGAAATGTGTTGCTGGCGATTCTTCTAACTGCTCTTACATGATGTCGACACAGTCGCATTGTCTGTTATGAGACTGTGCCAGATATCACTAAATAGGCAATTCAGATGACTAAACTCCCTCCCACACCTCATTTCTTCTCAACATGGGAAATTCAGTGCTGGCTAGTGAACTCTGACATTGATCGTGACATAAGCTTATAAACTGGTCTACATTGTAATATCCACACATTCTCATTGCTCAGTATTACTGTGCCAGCTACGTATCACAAAGACACAATATTATACTATGCTCACTTCACTTGCCAATTAATCCAGAAATGTACGTACGTATGGAGATAAACTCCATTTCGCTTTGGTTAAAGTCCCCCAGAATGTTAATGCAGTGATATATGTATCCAGTAACACATAATCGTTGTTCGATCCCAGCATTATGGATGACTGGCATTCTTTTAAGATTACTAACATTTCCTCATTAAAACTATGAAGTAATAGAAAACTACGTAATTATCTCTCAAGCAAGACGTGTACCAATGAACCTGTGGGATAGACAATTTGCATGACCACGGTATGTAAAGTTTCCAGATCGTATTATGCATTGAGATCAATGAAAGGTGAGATCAAAGGATGGTCTAATGTGCTAGTTTCCTTACATGCCTGGATATACTGTTACTTGACTAGAACAAAGGCGTTAAGTTAGCAAACTATAGCGGCGAAAAATCCGAGGAATGTCTGAAATTAACAGTTGGAATTCAGCCTCAATAGAGCCAATGTCATTTAGCCGGGGAACTTATTTACAGTCGTGTGAATACCTTATGACATGAGGATACCATTGAGAAAGTTGGGAGGTCTGAAGTTGTCTGAAGTTCATAATATTTATAGTTATAAGGAACATGTATGACCACCAGGGGTTTTTCTACATAATTATGTAGAGGAAGAGGAGCACATTTCAAGTAGATTATCATCCCGAGACTCGACATTTGCCCTTTTTGGTAACTTTCGAGGCCACTGTCGCAAACAGGCGGAATGCGGGCGAGGTAAGCAAGTGGTTTGCATATTGGCTTGTCCACTTGCTTTTCACTTTAAACACTCTGTTTTTAAGTCGCCGATCAAGCCAGTGTAGCACTGAATCTGTCAGTGCCCCTTTTGGCTGGGTTGTTGCGCGTGGTTGCAGAAAACGTGGTAACAGACAGACAGACAGACAGACTTACAAACCAAGTACTGTAACTCTCGCTGTGCCACATGTGCACCAGGGGTTAGCAATGAATCAAACAGCACACACTCGTATATCGTATACATACATACCCATATCATGTCTATCTCCCCTGGTCTGGCATCTCCTTTCACTGCAGGTATACATTAATTGTACACTAATTATTACTCCTCCGCCATGTAATACATGTTAAATTCTACATGTACTGCATGATGCTATGGCACCAGAACTTGTATATGAAGATGCACCGTAACACATGTACATGCACACAAACGGCATTAGACATAATATTCCTACAATGTGCATGACCAGGAAACACTTGATTTAATGAATTCTTGGCAAGAAGGCATGATCAAGTCCATAGTGCATGATCTTTGGACTGTGTACGCATAATGTACAATATTAATTCCATGCATGGACAGTGTTTAGCCTTGCAAGTCCTGTTTGTGAGCATTAGCATTCATGCCTTCATTTAGAAGTTGATGAAGGGGTATGGGGGTAAATAACATATTAAAACCTTGTGCTTGTGCGCAACTAAAAGGTTAACTTCAACTCTGAAGGGGAGCAACAATGTAAGTGCTCTGTCTGAATGAACCCTATAATATGCACATGTAACATAAATAATTACAAAATTGACAGACTAGCATCTGTTCACTTATCCAACCACTCCTATATACTGTGCACTGAAATTGCGTGTCTTACCAAATCGATAGAGCATCTTGGTAAGCCATCCAGTCCCTTCGCGACACGGAGTACACTGAGAAAAACAGTCACACAACATCACGATTAGTAAAATCATTACGAGCAATGTACATTTGTTTTGCAGTGAATGGTAGAGTCAATTATTACACGATAACTAAACAGCTCACGCTTTCACATGTAGAGAAAGAAGAAAACGAGAGATAATTCTTACATGCATTCCCAACGCACTTAAAAGAACTTTACTTGTATTATAAATATAACTAATAAAAAAACTGTTTAAAACTGATGCGTGCCAACTATTTTTCACTTTCAAAAGCGGACTTGACTGACTAGCTGGGAATATGCAGGCCATGTTATTTTCACTCAGCAATTTACTCGACCAGTTACTACGTGCAGTATGTACCTGTCCGCAGCTCTCGTGTTTGTAGAAGAGAAGGAGTCTAGCGATGCAGTCCACAACATCTGCACTCTTGTCCATGACAATGACAGCAGCAGTCCCCAGTCCACTCTGGACCTCAACCAGCGCATCGAAATCCATCAGAACATTCTCACATACACTGTACGTGTGAGACAAAGACAAAGAGAGCGCTCGCCTAGACTGCAGAGTCTCGTGGGTTCGAATTCAACCCAGGGCAGCTTTTGTTTTTAAAAAGAGCTGTCTTGGGTGTAGTTGACTTGTTTGCCTTGCCTTTACCTTTCTACCTCGTACATCACACATGTACGCGTACCAGAGTGACTGCTGTTTATTGCAGCAACCAGGCATTGTTGTAAGGTCTTATATATACTGTATAACTCAGTATATGTCGTATATGTGCAGGATATTTTTTATGAACCTTTGACAAAAAATAGACTACACATCATGCCCCTACGTCATTGATTCAAAATGATTTTTTTTATTCATGCCATAATCAGCATAACAAACACATCGGCCCAAATACTTTTGTTTGTGTAGACAGAGTGTTACCAACTGACCTCTTTGGTATGAGAGGGACTGAGGAGCCCCCTGGAATAATTGCCAGAAGATTATCCCAACCTCCTGTGAGGATTAACACAAATACATACACAATGGTGGAACAGATAAATCTGCAATTTTCAGATAAAACCTGCAATTTCTAACAGAACCTATGTACTGTACATGCATTGATACGAATTCGTTTTCGAATTTTCACAAAACTGAATCAATTATTGGTCAGCCGCCTATAAATGAAACACATTACACCTCTCAATGTGTAAAGACAGATTGGAGCTACTCAAGTCCCACGGGACATCATGCTCAATCGTGTTGAAGAAAATTCCTTTGGGAGGTGAGTGAGGGAGAAATTGTCAGCAGGAGTGCAGAGATAATGGACAAAGCTAATGCTGATTAACAAGGATAAAGTGACCACACCCACCCTGACTGACCTTTGACCCCACCGGCATGCCTCTCGACGAGTTCTCTGAGAGGGATGGACATCTCCTCCTCCACGGTGCAGGGGGAGTTGACGTGGCCACTGATGCAGTAGAGCTTCGTCCCGTGGTTCCTCTCACGACCAAACGACGCAAACCACTCCCCTCCACGACGACAGATAGCCTGGAGACAGGGAGATAGCAAATTTGAGAACATTTACTCCGTTATAAGATGTAAGCATGTTGTGTTGTGTTGTAGATTCGAACCCCTACCAGCTGAGTTGCCCTGGTAGCTCAGTTGGTAGAGTGCTCGCCTAGACTGTAGAGTGTCGTGGGTTCGAATCCCACCCAGGGCAGCTCTTCTTCTTTTCTTTGAAAAGAAAGAGATGTCCTGGGTGTAGTTGACTTGTTTGCCTTGCCTTGCCTTTCTACCTCGCTACCAAGTATTTGAGACATGTGTAAATAGGACACACTAAGGCTGGAGCAACCAGACAATTGTCCGACAGGACTAAGGGTACATTACATAGCAACACATTTTTTCCAAGTTAAAGGTTTTTGCGGTTTTAAGTGGTGGTAGCGCCTTGTACTTCACAACAAGAAATACGAATAATAACAGGGTTTTCCTCACCGGGGCAACAGCGACCGTTTCGACGTTGGCAACGGTGGTGGGGCAGCCAAAGACACCGATGTCGGCCGGGAATGGCGGTTTCAGACGTGGCTTCCCCTGCTTCCCCTCCAGACTCTCTATGAGGGCCTGTGGCAGTGAGTGAGGTACCAAAACACCAGTTGTGGTTACACAAGAGGAAACATTATACACAATAATTATTACTCCTGTGGCAGTAGAAATAAATGCACTAAATGAAAAGTAATAGGCAACTTACATTTTAATATGATACATACAATGTTTGGGGATGTCTTTCGCTCATTTACTGTCGCCATAGTCTATACAGGCCTGAGCAATTGCGCATGAAAGGGTGGAGGAGAGAACCTCTACATATACAAGTACTCTAAGCATGCCTGAGTCACCGTGTGCAGATTATTATTATACCAACACAAGTTGGTCACTGAGCCAATAATATTACATCGTTAGTCACAAGATGTGGCAGTAAAGAAAAAATTTATAGGCAACTAAGTATGTGGACAGTGTTATGAACATGTGCAGTGTGTCTATCTTTCACACATTAATTCCGTCTATTCCCATTCTAGTGACAAAATTTCAATCTTTCTTCACCTGTACTCAACTGTTGACAAAAATCCAAGGAAACATGTTGCAATAAATTGACAAGAGACTCATAATTATGTGTACATAATTATGTACCATTTCCTCACAACAGATGTAGGCCCCACGAAATAATAATATGCATAGTAATTGACAAAAGACGCATACATACGTACCATTTCTTCCCCACAGATGTAGGCCCCAGCTCCTCTGTGCATGATGATGTCAAAGTCGTATCCCGATCTGCAGGCATTCTTCCCGATGAGCCCAGCCTCGTACGCCTCCTGGATGGCCGCCTGCATGTTACTGGCCTCGTTGTAGAACTCTCCACGGATGTAGATGTAGGCTGGGAAGAAGGGGGAGAGGGAGGAGGGAGGGAGGAGAGAGGGGGGAGGGTGACTTGGAGGCAGCATGCAGCCATAGAAATGGGCAGATTTCTGTGCATAGTGCTATTAAGGGATAAAGTTTCTAAGATTCGGTAATGATTAAAAATTTCCCCAATAAACTTTAACAGGGTTTCCACATTGTTCGTTCACACAAACAGCCACAGTTTCTCGCTTATTGCACGAAGATTAAATCTTACAAACCATAATTATTCGACATCTTTCTCGTATTTCTGTTCTGTGAATCCGTCTTTCAGATTCAACATAGACTATCAATCAGTCAACCAAACACACACAATAAACTTTTACGCACTAAGCGCGGTTTGCAAGTGTTTAGGTAAAAGACTTCTTACAAGAGATTGTGTACACACGTACTGTATGTGATATGCACAGACCAGTTCTGGCTCCCATGGCCATGCCAGCGACCAGACATCCCTCCACCAACTTGTGAGGATCGTGTCTCATGATCTCGCGGTCCTTACACGTCCCCGGCTCTCCCTCGTCTGCATTCACCACCAGATACTTGGGACTTGAGGGAGGAGGAGGGGAGGGAGGGAAGGTACGTATATAAAAGGAGAGTGGGAGGGAGAGGAGATAAGGAGTGCAGCGACGCGCTGAGGGAGGAGCGATATAACTCAGGATGAGAGTGGAGTGGCGCGAGAACGCGATTCTGTAGTACCTACATATGTACTATACAAAAAGATGAAGGGCATTATGTAGCTTAGGTCTGACTGACTAAAACTGGGCACCTATGTCCTCTAATGGTACTCCTCATCCTCTAATTCCCCACTCCTTCTAACCCCCGCGAGTGGACAATGAAAAACAAACCATCCCTAATAACTTTGACTATAGTTGGAGGGGTGGAATAGAACACTTCTCGCTGTTACCTAGTATACACTTATTTATCTCACTCTTTCACCCCTTCCGCACAAGGGTTTTTTAAACGGTTGGCATTTTTGTGCAGCTATGCGAGTACGAAATGACAAACCACCAATCTCTACTACTTTGACTATAGTGGAGGGGTGGAAATAGCAACCTATCTCACTGTGACCTATACACCTATTTAGCGGCTTTTCCTTCATTACCACCCTCCCAACAAGGGTTTGAACAGTTTTGCATTTGTAGGGACATGTAAGCAACAAACCAACCATCCTAATACTTTGACTATAGTTGGAGTCATTTCTTGCAGGGACGTCGTAAAGAAGGAGAGAGGAGTAGAAAGCCGGGTGAAAGATCACACAACCCAACCACCCATCCCTGATACTTTGACTATAGTGTGGAGTGCCTTTCTTGCAGGAGACGTGAGTAAACAAACAACAACACCCAACCATCCTGATACTTTGACTATAGTGGAGTGCATTCTTGCAGGACGTGAGTAGTAAACCAAACAACAAATGACAAATGACAAACCAACCATCCTAATACTTTGACTATCGTTGGAGGGTGGAATAGCAACACTTTCTCGCTGTACCTATACACTTATTACTCTTGCCTATCTTCAGTACCACCACCACCTCCTTTTCTGCCCATTACTTCCAGAGCTTCAGAGTCTTTTGTAGCCTGCAATTGTTCTCACAACGTCCGTCAGAAGCTTGTCATGAATCCCACTTCATTCCAGATGGAACCCAGCTCCTCCTCTTCTCTACGCCCCGACTCTCTCACCTCCTCCAGAATCCAGTCTGACTGAGGATTACTCTCCTTGTCGTAAACAACACTCACCCGGAGGGTGGGAGGGAGGAGGGAGGGAGGAGGATACGGGATGGAGCGGAGGACGTTCAGACGGAGAGAGAGAGCAAACAGGACCAGACAGGGAAAGAATGTGAGCATCTGCGAGGAAAGGAAAAAGAAGAAACGTATACAACAAAGAAGGAGAGCAAAATGAGAAACAAATGGAGAGAGGGAGAGATAGGGATCATGTGCATATTAATCACACGTGAGTGTGATAGACAGAGAAGAACCCAGTGTATATGTGTTCACTCACACTGCTGGCCATAAGCTCCCTTTCGCTTCAGTCGTGTCCTGCCATAGAGGTTGGTGAGATCTCATGTCCTCGTCTTCAGGTTACCATATGTCGCTACAACCAAGAGACAATTCAATATGCTATACATAATTCTGTATGTAGTACAGAGGTTACTCTTACAAGTGCTGCATGACTTTGTGTCAAAGGTTCCTCAGATTAATCTAAGATTTACTAGCCAATACGGACCTGATCACAACACTACGTAAACGTCTCATTAGGCATATAGTTCAGTCTAGAATGTACATGAGCAGTGGTAGTATGTACCTACGTCAGTAGACTGAGCGTGGTGGCTGTAACTCGAGGAACGGTTCAACCAGGTCAGAGACCTTTATCGAGAGAATATGTTCTTTTTCCATTAGACTATCTGCTATACAGGACACATATACATGAGCAGAGACATAGGAAATGCGACTAGAACAGTAAATGTTCATGGTGTTGATGATGGCGCTAAATAGGAACATTACCGTTTACCTCTCTTTCCATTCCATGAGCCGACTAGTCGCTTACATGCAGCCATCTCTGGTGTATCTTCCTCTCACGGAGCGTTGGAGATAAACCCGGGGTACCTTGCAGTGGTGTACAGGCGTCTAGTCTCTCACCAACGACGTAAACAGACTGAGCGCGCGGGGGTTATTACGTAACCCGATGCGCGCGCATGCGCACGAAGTCCATGACGCCAACCCCTTTGCCTGTATATAATATATACCCCCACTCAGGGTCTGTCTTAACTCTGAAAAAAAGAGTATTGTTCAAGGGTATTATGTTCCCCACGACACCAGAGTATTATTAGGTATGTCAGTGCACAAATATTTGTTGTGTGCCATTGGGTCACCAGTATGCAGCTATGTACCTATATCCCAACCTGCGGTGTGCTCAAAATAATATGGATCACCTTGCTTTATCATGCTTTGCATTTTTAAGCTTATCATGCTTAGAATTGTTTGCATTTTTCTGTCAATACAGTCTTTCCACTGGAGAATTAGATCCCCAATGCCCAAGAGCACCCTGTAGCAGAAAAATGGCAGAAGCTCTAAGCTACTCGACAGCCACAACCTCTGGCTATTCGGGGCGGAGAAGAGAGTTTAGAAAACTTCTTTGTGACATCTCGGAAAAACTCGATGACAATGTTGACGTAAAGAAAATCAAGTTTATTAGCGAGATAACGAGCGAAAATGTGAGGACCGGTCTCGACGTTTTGGCAGTGTTGGAAAAGCAAGGCGTGTTCTCACCAAGCAACACGAATCCTCTGGCTGAATTACTTTGCGATATCAACCGTAAAGACCTAGCAGACAACGTGCGAGCGTACCACCATGACAGTGCGTACCGCCACTCCGTCTCCAGCGATATAATCGGAGAAGAGGCGCTATTAGTGAGCTCAAAACCTGTTAGCAGAGCCTCGTCTCTATCTCTACCCAGGGGAACCTACTCCATCACACAGGAGGCTCACCCTGAGGCGTGTGCAACGATGACCCACGGGAGCGTCGCCGTCACCTATCGGGTCGTCCCGGTGAAAAATCACAAGGAGGCTGCAGGCGCGTCCTCGCGCTCGGACAAGTAAATATCATTGTCATGTGCCACCGTCAACTGCCTTTTCAGAGCAATGCTGAGCTCAGATACATCCGGAGAGCTGCGGCTGACATCGAACCTCTATCCCCACATATGACTGTCGATGAAGAAGAAACTAACGACCGGAAGGATGAAGGCCTGGTTGCGGCACTGTGAAGCAGTCAGTAGTACAGAAACGGTCCATCTCGTTGAGCAACTTGCTGGCTCTTCTAAACTATTAGCGGAGATAGCCACGAGAAACGAGGTAGTAGCTTTAAAATTCTCCTTGTGCAGCTACGTATAGGTATATACACTATTTTATACTTATACTGACATTGGTTCATTACAGGCGGAACGAAACTGGGATGGAAGGGAAGGAGAGACGATTTAACGACAGAGAGCCAAAGCGTTTCTCCAGATACAACTGGATCATGGATTATAGAGAGTTAAAAGTATCTTTACGCATCAATTGCCCAAAAAAGGATAAATCGATAGCGGGGGCGGGACTCTCCCTTTCCCTCCACTTCCCCCCCCGTTCTAACCACCGCTCCTCCCGCCTCTCTC